GTCTGTCTGCATTCGCTTACACTGTTACAGTTTTCTTTCTTTTTTTTTTACTTATTTTTTGAATTACTACACAAAATACCATTTCATTATGGAGCTCTCACATATAATCTGTTTTTTTAACTGTTCTAGTTCCCTTTATTTCCCTGAGGACTTATCCTTTTTTTTTTTTTGATACAGTGTTTCTCTGTATCCCTGACTATCCTGGAACTAGTTCTGTAGACAAGTCTGGTCTCCATTAGAAAGATCCACCTGCCTCTGCCTCTCAAGTGCTGAGATTAAAGTCATGCACCACCACATCTGATTATGATCTCCTTCTTCTTCTTCTTCTTCTTCTTCTTCTTCTTCTTCTTCTTCTTCTTCTTCTTCTTCTTCCTCTTCCTCTTTCTCTTCCTCCTCCTCCTCCTTCTTCTTTTTCTTCTTCTGTTTTTCGAGACAGGGTTCCTCTGTCTATCCCTGGCTGTTCTGGAACTCACTCTATAGTCTAGGCTGGCCTTGAACTCAGAGATCCACTAGCCTCTGCCTCTCAAGTATTGGGATTAAGTGAATGAGCCACCACCACCCAGCAGGATTTCTTATGATTTAGTAAATGTCGTACATAACTTAAAGCAGGAATTCAGAATCTCTCTCAATGAGACACATTGAACATATAATGTTTCTTTGGGGAGAAAAACATGGGCATATATTTCTCAACGTTTAGAGTGGTTTTATAATGTACTGGGGATTAGGCATTATTCTCAAGAGACACCCACACATTGTTTTTCTCTTTGGGAGGGGATGCTGTGCAATCATGGTGTGGTTGAAGGGTTCTTTGAACTTCCACACGTATTTTACCTGGAGTACATCATGACTACCTGGAGTCTGTTCCATGAGATGCACAGGGTGAACACATCAAAAGTCTTGCTATTCCTCTTTTGTTCTGGATTCTAACCAGTCATAATACGATAAGGACATATTAGCCTGTCCTATGCAGGTACCCGGTATTCTGGGACAGAAGCTCAGGGTGATTGGGAAGAAGCCTTATCCTTAAAGTCTGAGGCTCAAGGTGTTTTACTACAATTGCCCCCAGGCTGTGCTTAGCCCAGCATTCTCTTGCGCAGAACTTGGCACTTGAACTTAATAATTTCCAAAGCCCCGAGATTGCTCAAAGACAACATGCAGGTAAGTTTCGGATCATCTCCGAAACATTTGATAGCTGTTGGAATTGACTGGTCTCCATGTGAATTGTTAGCACTGAGAAAAATGACAAGGAGTGCCGTTTGTCACTGCAAGTTCTGGGGTCAGAGGTCCTCAGTAGTCACAGTGAACTTTAGACACTGGCAGATCCAAGTTCAGAACTGGAGCCTCTCTCAATCTCTTACCCACAGTGCGCTCTCAGGCAAATTATTAAACCTCTCAGGTGCTCATCTGGATCTGGAAGTTAATCTACCCAAAGGGGTGTCACTGTGGCTAAGTGCAGTAAGTATGAAGTGCCCAGCCCGGCGCTGGAACTCAGCAAAGGCCCACTGAGAGGTAGCTCACTTAAGCTTCTTCCTAAGAGCAGGCTCTGACACAGTTCTGAGTCCTTTAAAGGTCCCTGGTCTGTTACAATTCCACACGCTCCCTTCCAGGTGGGCACTGTCCCTCTCTCTGAATGAGGTGGAATAAACTTGGCACAGGTCCACCTAGGTCTCTGAAGAGAATGCTCCCTGCAGATTGTAGGAATCTGCCCACATCCACAGACATGCCAGACGCTTAGGGAGAGTCAGTCAAAACAGTCTGGTGAGTAGCAGAGTAAGTTGAAAGTTGTACTAGAATATAAGTCTGATAAAGAGCCAGGGTGTGGTGGACACCCAAAGCAAGCACATCATGGAAAACAATCCTTGACCATTGTAATCAGAGAGGAAACTGATCCAAGGGCTTCCATTCAAGAAAGAGTTGTATGTATGTCCCTTGTAGGTTTTAATTACAATGATTAAATGATTATGTCACTTGATATGTGGCATCAATATAGCTGTGCCTGATCCTTCTTTGTATCTCCAGTGTGTCATACAGTATCTAGTTTATAATTGTGTGTGTGTGTGTGTAAACTTCCACCCAAACAAGGAAGTAAACTGCTTACATTGTGCTCAGTGTCCATTTTCTGGCAAATGTTGGAGAAGAGAGACATAACGCTTGTGACCTGGGAGACTACAATCTAGTAGAAGTAATAGTAAACATTTAAAATAGAATGTACTGCTAAGTACTGTAAGAAGCCCCGTCAGGCTAGTGGGAGGAATAAACAGGGACCGGAATGAGCTTAAAGGCTCAACCGCCTTTCTTCTTAGGTGACGTTCTGCAGACTTCGGACTCACCAGTGGGGTTTCATTCTATTTAATGTATTCATGCCTTGCTCTTTGGAGCTAACTTCGTGGAAGAATACTTTTTACATTCTTTGCCTCATGTCGATATGAAAATCCTTGAAATTAAGAGCAAGGCAAGAAAACCCAACATGGGATTCATAAGAGGTACTCCCTCCACAGACTATGTTTTGAGCCAGCCGGAGGCATGTAATGGGAAGCCCATCTTTCTGCTCTCTCTATCTTCAGTAGCCCAGGGAGTGGAACAAGAAGGGAGCGCATCAGGAAAACGTGGGGTAGTGTGACCAGTGTCCAAGGCTACCCAGTCCTTACACTGTTTGCTCTGGGAATGCCAGCTCTGGTAACTACCGGAAGAGACAGACATCAAGTCTCAGGAGAATAACGACATAACTGAAGGGATCTTCTTGGACAGGTCTGAAAACCAGACCCTGAAGAGCATCTCAATGACGTAGTGGGCTGTGTCTTTCTGTCCTAATGCCCTCATACTCAAAGCTGATGAAAAGATGTTTATCAATCTCCCAGGCTTGGTGGACTATCTACTCAGTCTAAAAGAACATCTAGAAGGTAGCTGTGTAGAAAGTGGTACTCACCAGGGTAATCCTAACAGACCCCCCCTCCCCACCAGCCAAGAATTTGTCCCCTGGCTGCTGCAGTGGTGAGGCCTTTACAGTGCCCCAAGATGTGGCTCAGACATGTATGTTTTTTTAAATTATTATTTATTTATTTATTTGGTTTTTTGAGACAGGGTTTCTCTGTAGCTTTGGAGCCTGTCTTGGAACTAGCTTATAGACCATGATGGAGGTGGGTCTTGTATCTTATCTGTTGCTTTCATTGGTTAATAATAAAAACTGCCTCGGTCCTCATAGGACAGAAAATTAGGTAGGTGGAGTAAACAGAAGAGAATGCTTGGAAAAAGAAGTTGAGTCAAGGAGTTTCCATGATTCTCCCACGCCAGACAGATGCAGGTTAAGATCCTCCCTGGTAAGCCACCTCGTGGGCTACACAGAATATTAGAAATGGGCTAGAACAATATGTAAGAGCTAGCCAATAAGAGGCTGGAACTAATGGGTCAGGCAGTGTTTGAAAGAATACAGTTTCCATGTAATTATTTCTGGGTGTAAGCTAGCCATGCGGGCGGCCGGGTGCCAGGGACGCAGCCCTGCCGCTCCTAATTCAACAAGACCAGGCTGGTCTCGAACTCACAAAGATCTGCCTGCCTCTGCCTCTGCCTCCCAAGTGCTGGCATTAAAGGCTTGCGCCACCACCACCCGGTTATGTATGTGGTTTTGAATGAAGCACCTACAGTGGTACCGGCTGATGTATTTATAGGGATTTGTGGTAAGTCTGTTGGTCTTTTTTTTTTTTTTTAAGACAGGGTTTCTCTGTAGCTTTGGAGAAGTTCGTTGGTCTTATCCCATCCATAGCTCAAGAAGAGACACATTGTATAAAACAGATGTTGCTACAAGTTCATCTTTACATCCTCAGAAGCTACAGATGCTGAAACTTCCCTGGCATGCAGAGAAATGAATGATGGGAAAGCGTGTTCACTGTTTGAGACTTACTATGGGCTCATTTCCTGCAAACTGCTGACACACCTCGACGGCTTTAGCCGTTTTCACGTGGGGACTGCACAAGGCCATGCTATGCACTTTGGCGGGTAGGATGCACTTGTTTTTAAATTGCTGTGCGTTGGCTCAGTGTAGGAAGCAGCTCTATGAACCCATGTCGTGTAGCAGCTCTGAATCTCTATTCATGGCTAGCAAAACTACAAAATGTTCTTAGTGCTCTGATGTACTCAATCTTGACATCTTCTTTTTGATGCTTTAAGATGGTGTGATTCTTTTCAAAATAAAATCTTTCAGAAAAGAGAGAATATCAAATTTCATTAAAACATATTGTGGTATGCAGTGATACATATTTTAAAAATTACACTTGTTTATTTTATTCTTGTGTGTAGATATGCATGTGTATGTATATGTGTCACAGGGAGTGTAAAGGGGTCACAGGACAAAGAAGAAGAGGAGTCAGTTCTCTTCTTCCATCATGTGCGTTCTAGGAATGGAACTCGAATCCTTAGACTTGGCAGAAATCACCCTTACCCACTGAGCCATCTCACTGGCCCAGATGAGTAAAAAATAGTATAGTACATTATGGAATGCCTAAATCCATTATTTAACATATGTTTCCTTATACACTTTTGTGGTAAAAACACTTAAAATGTATGCTCCTAGCAGTTTTCATATGTGTGTATGTGTGTGTACCATATATATGATCTACCTTCTATTTGTCTATCTTTCTATCTTAACTATAATTATTGTGAAATATAATAGATTTCATGAACTTATTTCATTTACTGTATGTACATTGGTATGAAGGTGTCAGATCCTCTGGAACTGGAGTCAGAGACAATTGTGAGCTGCCATGTAGATGCTGGGAATTGAACCCAGATTCTCTGGAAGTGCAGCTAGTGCTTTTAACCACTGAGCCATCTCTCAGCCCCAATCCTGAACTTATTTCTATCAGACTGATATTGTTTAGTTCCTTGACTAAGAACCCTGTGAATCTAGAATCATTATTCGCCTGTGTTTGGCATTTTTAACACTGCCTGTGTGAATGATAGTGTGGCTCTCTTTGTCTTTTGAGTGTGGCTTATTTTGCTTGCCATGGTGTCCTCTCGTTCCTACATGTTGGTGCAATTGATAGTTATTTTCTCTTTCTTCCTTCTTGCCTTTCTTTAAACATTTTTAATATTTTATTTTTTATTCATTCTTTGGGAATTTCACATCATGCACCCCAATTCCACTCACCTCCCATCCCCTCCATATCCTCCCCTCACCCCTGATGCTTTCTCCCAAAAGAACCCCCCCAAAGTCAACTAAAAAACAAAACAAAAAACACCTCACTTCTCTGTCTTTCCAACACTTCATCCATCCTAGTGGCTTTGGGTGCTGCTGTGTATCACACATGATATCCTTTTGTCCAATCAGCCCCACCCACAAAGTGCTCATTGCTATGAGCTATTGGTCCAGCTCAAGGCTTATGCCATAAGGATCATCACTGGGCCCTCTCTGAAGTGCCTCTCTGCTATCCAGCTGTTGCTGAGTCATGGGTGGGCCAACCCAAGGCCCAAGATGTAGGGCGGGGCTAGGTGGTATTGGCCCCCTCAGGTGAGGGGCAGAGTTAGCTCTCCTAGGCCCATGCCACTGGGGCCAGCTTTCCCGTCTGGCTGGTCTTGAATTCCTGGGTTAACCACCTCCAACTCTGAGTAGCTGCGACTACCAGATGACATCACGGTGCCCAGCTCTATTGGTCATTTACATATCTTCCTTGAGAAATGTCAATTGAATTTTTTTTTTTTTGGCTTGGTTTTGAATTGTTTCTTGCTGTGTAGGTGGTGGTGGCATACGCCTTTAATCCCAGCACTCAGGAGGCAGAGGCAGACAGACCTCTGAGTTTGAAGCTAGCCTGATCTACAGAGTGAGTTCCAGGACAGCCAGGACTACACGGAGAAACCCTGTATTGAAAAACAAAACAAAACAAATTGTTTCTCAGATTTTTGCTATTGTAGTTCACACGTTTTCCCCATTTTTTTTTTTTTTTTTGAAATAGATAGGGTTTCTCTGTGTAGCTTTGGAGCCTGTCTTGGAACTTGCTATGTAGACCAGGCTGGCCTTGAACTCACAGAGATCCATCTGTCTCTGCCTCCTGAGTGCTGGGATTGAAGGTGTGTGCCATCACCACCCACCCTATTTTCCCCACTTTTAATTAAATTTTTTCTCATATATTTCTATCATTAATCTCTTACTAGATGATGGGGTGTTTTCTCCCAATTCTACAATATCTATCAGTGCTGCTTCTGTACAGCTTTGGCTGTAGTCAAGGTCACCAATGACTATGGATGCTTTAGTGGCCTGGGGTCCATGTTTCTGTGGCAGGACAGATTTTAGGGCTCTTGGTGAAAGGACTTGGGTCAGTCCTGTTCTAAATTCTCATAGGACTGACTTACCTGAGAGGACCCTTGACGGTGTTAAGTCTGATTTCACTGTGCTCCAGGGCTCAGTGTCCCACTGAACAGATGAGGCTCCTGTGACATGCAAACAGGTTCACTCTTAGGCATGGGTGGATACACACTTTCCCATCATGCCAAGGGCTGTAATTCTAGGGAATTCCACAGCGGCTCAGACCCAAGGGACAAAGACACCACTGTGAATCTGGTGCTGAGCATCATGGCCCAGGGAGGAATGTGTTCCAGATATACTGTTGTGTGACAAAACTCTTTCTGGGGAGACACTACACACACCTCTACTTACCCAATATAGGGAGCGCACAACGGACCAAAGTATAGACACCACCAAAGTGCAGCTTGGTGAACCAATGAGTTTTACTGGAGTTACTTATAGGAATATGGGCAAGAGGTTACATACAAGAGCAGGAATGACTCAGACAGCTGCAACATCAGAGCCCACCCCAGCCTGCAGGCAGCTCAACAGGTAGGAGTGTCCTTTTCTAATGATTTTGTTGGGCTAAATCTCTTCCTGGTTGTCCTGCCTGAGCAGGACGCTTACTCTGGGGGGAGGGCTTAGTGAATCTGCTCAGTTTCAGGGATTTCCTGAGACTATTTGTTTTACTTCCCTGCTTAAGAGAGCTTCCCTGTAGGATGGACAATGCCAACCTCATCGAAACTGCTATACAATAGCTGCAGATGCTAGGTAGTGGAACATAGTTGCAGTTTGGGTTCTGAAGTCAACAAGGACAGTGGCAACTTGAGCATGGCATGCAGTGAGCTGCTTAGTGGTGATGCACATCTTGGAGTGTCAGGACACAGCAGTGGTGCAGGCCTGTGACTTGAACTGCCATGGCAGCCATGTCCTGGGTACGGTGGGGCACAGTTGCAGCTTGGCTTCTGGTGGGAAGCAGTGTAGCACTGACTTCATCCCCCATCTAGTGGGATACTTGAGCACCTCAGACTGTAAGGCAAATTCAGATGCAGGAAGGTGAGATGCGGTGGTTATTCCTCCTGGTCGGTGGGGTGATACAGACAAGCCAAGGATGTTTCCGTGGAAGGAGTATCATGAAAGTTCAATCACTAAGATTGCTCTTTGGATTAAAGCTCTTGTACCCTGCAGTCAGGGTGACATATTCTTGTAGGCCTTGAAAGGAAATAGCTTCTTCATTAGATATGTCTATTTCTTGAGGGGCAAGGCTCTATGCAGCTCAAAATCACATCATTTACACTGTTTGGCTGGGCCTGGGTTCCAAATGGCAAAGTGTATAAGCTGCAGCAGCAAGGGAACAGATGGAGTGCTTCCTAGACTGCTGATCATGATGGAAAGGAGACGGTGACAGCGTGCCTGGGAAACGGCACGTCACGCTGTGTGAGCACGGAGCAGTGCAGAGAGGTCTCAGAACAGAGCTGCTGCTCACCCCACCACGGGGTGCACTCTAGTTTGTTTCCTAAACACAGGGCTGTGGAACCTTGGGATTAGGATCAGGAATGGGGCATATACAGCGTTTCTCAGCAATGTGGAGTACAGGGCTTCTTACTGGTGGTGGCCGTGGGAGTATGGAGAACTCCAAGAGGGTGTGTGGACCAGTTGTAGAGGTTTGAGAGACGTGCCAATTTCCCCCCATCTTCGGGGTTTCACTGGCAGATACGGCTGTTGGTCACCCCAGAGGCAAGCCATGCGCCTATGCCGATGCTGCCTTTCCGCCTGGTCATTTTGTTGGGTGTTTGTTGGGTCCTGGAGCCTTCTCCGGGCTGTTTTAGTTTGTGAAAGTCACACTCTCTCACACACACTTGCTTATTAAATGCAAAATAGTAACTTACAGCTCTTATTAACATCTGAAAAGACAGCACAGAAACAGACTGAGAACCAGGTGGTGGCGCATGCCTTTAAACCCAGTGCTTGGGAGGCAGAGGCAGAGGCAGAGGCAGGTGCCTTTCTAATTCCTAGGCCAGCCTGGTCTACAGAGTGAGATCCAGGTCAGAGAAACCTTGTTTTAAAAAAAGAAAAGAAAAAAGAAAAGCCAGAATGAGAATAGGGCCGTATACAGGAGAGCAGGCCCTCCTCTGAATCCTGTGGTTAAATAATTAAGTCAGGGACTGGAGAGATGGCTCAGAGGTTAAGAGCACTGGCTGCTCTTCTAGAGATCCCGAGTTCAATTCCCAGCAATCACATGATGGCTCACAACCATCTATAATAAGATCTGGTGCTCTCTTTTGGCCTGCAGGCAGAACACTGTATACACAATAAATAATAAATCTTAAAAAAAATGTTTAGT